AATCAGGTTTATTGGTGACAAACACCCTCCATTTTTGTTTGAGAACCTTTACAGGAATATTTCATTTTACTGTGCTTCACCTTACTGTGCTTTGTTGATACTGTGTTTTACCCATTGACGGTTTGTGGCAATCCTGCATAATGCAAATTTGTTGGCAATACTTTTCCAATAAAAACTGCTTACTTCATGTCTCTGTGTCACATTTTGGTAATTCTTGTGATGTTTCAAATTTTTCATTATTATATTTGTTATGGACTGGCTGAGAGCTCAGATGATGGTTAGCTTTTTTTAGTAATAAAAATATTTTAAATTAACATATGTACTTTTTTTTAGACACAATGGCATTGCACACTAACTTTTATGTGCCAAAAACATCCATTTGGCTTGCTTTATCCCGATATTTGCTTTATTGCAGTGGTCTGGATCTGAACTGCAATATCTCCAAGGTATGCCTGTATTTCTCTTTCACTTTTGCAGAATAATTTCACCGGACATAGAACTGTCGGCTGGTGTTCCCCGCCCCCCCCCCCCCCCCGCCAACACTTTAAATACTTCACTTCCCTCTCTTCTCATTACATGCATTCGAAATAAAATTCTGATGTAATTCTTATTTTTGCTCCTCTATTAGTAAAGGTTTTCTTTCTTCTGGCTTTTTTGAGAGTTTTGTCTTTGATTTTCTGCATTAAAATTTTTTTTTTATGTTTGTTTATTTTTGAGAGTGAGAGAAAGAGTGTGTGAGTGGGGGAGGAGCAGAGAGAGAGGGAGACAGAATCAGAAGCAGACTCCAGGCTCTGAGCCATCAGCACAGAGCACAACGCAGGGCTCGAACCCACGAACTGTGAGATCATGACCTGAGCTAAAGGAGGACATTTAACCAACTGAACCCAGGCGCCCCTAATTTTCTGTATTTTGAATATGATTATGCTTACAAGTAGATTTTTGGCATTTATTCAGACTAGTGGATAATTTAAAAATTCAAATAAATTTAAATAAAGTAAAAAGTTCAGTTCCCCTGCTGCACTAGCCACGTTTTAGGTGCTCAATGGCCATGAGTGACGAGTAGCTACTGTTAACCTTAAAAAGAAAACTGACAGTCATTTTACCAGCAAAAACAGGTTTATTTGAGGATAGCAGGGAACTGAATCTGTGATAAATAAGCCAGCTACAGCAAAACCACAAGCCAGTCCAGAAAACAAACGGGAGGAATACTTTTTTTTATAGAGGAAAGGACGAACTTGGGAGGGCTGTTATAAACACAAAGTCCACCAGAGTTTTGAAGTCTAGTGGCTTTTCATTGGCTGGGCTATTGCCAGGGGAGGGGCAAGAACTTTCTTCCTCCTGCTGGGTAGTGATGTAGTATCCACCCTGCAAGATTTTCCTGTTGGATCTGCATTTAATGATAAATAGTAGGGCGCAGAGCTCCCCGACCCTGTTCTTTTATTTTTTTTTTCCCAAGTTTATTTTTGAGACAGAGACAGAGAAAGAGGGAGACAGAATCCGAAGCAGGCTCCAGGCCCAGCTGTCAGCATAGAGCTCGACGCAGGGTTCAAACTCCTGAACAGTAAGATCATGACCTGAGCCAAAGTCAGATGCTTACCTGACTGAGCACCCAGGCACCCCTCCCCCAACCCTATTCTAAATAGTTTATTAATTTTCACACCACCAAATTAGAGGCCACATGTCGCTACAGTGGAGGGAAATGTCCAATCTGAGGCCTCTTGGCAGTGAGTGGCCCACAGAGGAAAGCATCTTCTAGGCGGCTACCGTCGCCAGCACTGAGCCACCGCTCCTAGAGGGCCTCTCTTCTCTGCCTCGGGTTATCTGCATTTTACTCTTCTTCCCCCGACTTAAGTTAGGCCCCATCAACTCACTTTTTTCAGAAGAGGAATGTGTTCCACAATTCCAGAAACATGAATTGGGTCTAACCATGCAGGTTCCTTTACATCATCAGGGCCTTGGACTGAGCCTCCCGCTTCCACTTTGCAGACTCAGTGACATAAAAAACATTAATGGGCCCACACATGCTAGTGTTGCCAGCATTTCATTCCATTAAGAAAACTAAAAGACAACCATCTATTGCTTGCAATTTCATAAATGAAGGAACATCCCAATAATGTCTCCTTCCCATATCTCCCCACAAAAAGGGGGAGCTGGGAGCGCCTGGGTGGCTCATTTGTTAAACATCCAACTCCTGATTTCAGCTCAGGTCATGATCTCACGATTCATGAGATGAAGCCCCTCGTTGGGCTCTGTGCTGTCATCATGGAGCCTGCTTGGGGTTCTCTCTCTGCCCCTCTCTCTCACTCACTCGTGCTTTTTCTCTCTTAAAATAAACATTAAAAAAATGGGTGGGGGGGGGTGTAACTGAAGCTTTGTGTTATTTTTCTCACTTGGACCTGAAAGGCGAAAACCCATTTTCTCTTTCAGCACAATAAAGACATCCAGGAACCACTGCCTACAGTCTTTCCTGATCCCTTTCTCACAATTTTATTTTTATCACCTTCCTCCCACTGTTGCAGAAGGTCATCGATAAGACATTGAAAACCCAGAATTGCTTCAGGTTCTGGGTCTCCCTCTCCCTCTGCCCCTCCTCTGCTTGCGATCTCTCTCTCTCTCTCAAAAATAAATAAACATTAAAAAAAAAGTGAATGGCTTGGAGAAACAGGTAAACTTTGGAGGTCAGTTTCTGCATTCTTGAACCTAAGGTCCACTGTGCTGGATATGCACCTGCTTGTGAAGATGTTTCTTGGTAGCCCAGTGACCTGCTATATTACTAAGCATCACTTGTGCCTACACAAAGGGGAACAACCTAAGGGACAGCTGTGTAGCATGCAGGAGGTTCTCAGAGCCCCTCTGGCTTTCTCTAGTTCCTCCAACTCCCTAAACTTGAAGGTCTCTTGCTACCTATCAGTACCCATTAAGACAGACCTCATTCATTTTGTCCATGATGGCAGATGTGACTCTATTCCTGGGCCATTCCCAGCTGGGCTCTCATTTTGAAGGAAAGGCCTGTGGACAACACAGGGAGCAGAACGCCATGCTCAGAGTGGAAGCTAGGAAGCTTTTGGCTTCTCTAGCCCTGTACCGATTGACTTCTGTCCCTTTGTCCCAACCTTATCCCCAGCAGGGAATGCCAGCCTCAAGCTACAATACCAATGTCCTAGGCACACACCTTTATTTTTTTATTTTTTAAACATTTTTTTTTAATGTTTTATTTTTGAGAGAGAGATAGAGACAGTGTGAGCAGGAGAGGGTCAGAGAGAGAAGGAGACACAGAATCTGAAACAGGATCCAGGCTCTGAGCTGTCAGCACACAGCCCAATGTGGGGTTCGAACCCACGAACCATGAGATCACGAACTGAGCCGAAGTCAGACAGTTAACCGATTGAGCCACCCAGGCGCCCCACGTGGGTTAACTCTTAATCCTTCCAGTAACTTCACAACATAGGAAATGGAGACCAGGGTAAATAGCCTGCTCAAGATCACACAACTAATAAGATACATAAGAGGGTGTATGTGGAGGGCAGGGGGAGACCAAAGGAAGACGTAGGCAGTTCCAGGTTGACAGGCGGAAGTTTTAATAAGCAAAGGGGTGGGGGTGGGGTACCTGGGTGGCTAAGTCGGTTAAGCTTCTGACTCTGGCTGAGGTCAATATCTCATTGTTTGTGGGTTCAAGCCCAGTGTTGGGCCTTGTGCTGACAGCTCAGGCCTGGAGCCTGCATCAGATTGTGACTTCCTCTCTCTGCCCCTCCCCGACTCACGCTCTCTCTCTCAAAAATAAGTAAATGTTAAAAATATTTTAATAAGCAAAGGGAACTTACATATGGTTTGTCTTGGGCAGCAGTGAAAAGAATGGATCCACACACCCACCTACCAAATCTTAAAGAGTTTCTATAGAGAGGCTTGAATTGGGTTCAGTCAAGTATATCTCAAGGCACTATCCTTGCAGCAGCCTCTGGAGGTGTGAAAGGCAAGTGAGACCCAAGCAGAAGAGGTGAGGCACCTCCAATCACTTGGGTCCAGCTCACAGGTCAAGAACCGGGAGATCATGACCTGCAGGGAAGTCCAACACTTAACCCTTAGCCGACTGAGCCACCGAGGTGCCCATGATTTCACTTTCCAAAACCCTACAAAAAGACAGTTTTACTGCTGACTAGGAAAAATGTACAGGCAGGCTTAAATTATCTGTGCACATAAATATTAAGGAATGTTACCTTGTTAGAGGTACTCATTTTTATACTCTGTCCCGGACTGTTACTCTCTTAAAACATCTTCTTAAAATAGGGGCTGCAAATTGGAAGTCCACGGGCTGAATTCAATCTACACAAATGTTTTGTTTGGCCTGCACAGTTAAAAACAACTTTTAAAATAACATTTAAAAATTGTACGTTAAAATAATTTAGATTTTTCAGTTTCGCTTTAAAAGTTCTGGCTGTGGTGGCAATAGGCTGAGCACAAGGCAGCTACTGGCTCTGACAACTGTTGCTTTAAAAGCATTAAGGGTCTTTAAATCACCGACGCCAGCTATTCACAGAACACCTGCGTATATACCTGCATTCTGGCATTTAAGTGAGTACGTGCTGCTTTGGAAGGAACTGGAATTGGCTACCCACATGGTGGTCAGGGCGGTCCGAGACAGTACCTTTTAAACTGAGACCTGCAGGAAATGACTGAGTCACAACGTTCGTGCCTCAGTTTCCCCATCTGTAAAACGGAGCTGAAGATGCGCTGTTGTAGGAATGTTGGGCGAGGAATTATGCAAAGGTCCGGCCCTAACTCGGGACTCGAGGGGCACGACCGCTAGCCTCGCTAACGTCTCCGGAGGCCACGGCCCCAACACGGACCGGGACCCCGAGGAGGCGCTAGGGGCGCGGGGCAGGGGCGCGGAGCCACACCCGCTAGACCTCTTCCTCCACTCCTCCCCGCCGCGGGCCCCCGCGCTCCGCAGAGGTCGGCCCCGGGACGCCGAGAGGCGTGGCCGGCCCCGGCGGACCCTGGAGGCGGCCATGGCCTCGGTGGTGGAGTACAAGGGGCTCAAGGCCGGCTACCACTGCGGCTACTGCGACGCCGAGGAGGGCAAGGTGTCCTGCGGTGAGTGTCCCCACGGACCGGGCTGGCGTGGCCGCCTGGCGCCCGATCCCCGCCGCGCCCCTCCCCAGCCCCGGGCCCAGGAGCGCACAGGCCCGGCTCCCCAATTCCCGCATCCCTCTCCCGCTCGCTTCTTCCCAGACTGTTTCCCTTCGCGCTCCTCTCTTCTCCTCACCCTCATCGAAGATGGCGGTCCCGTTTCGGAGAAGGAACGGAAATAGCGGCCGGCTGCCCTCGGTCAAGATGGCGCGGGCGGCGTCAGCGTGCGAGGTTCCTGAGGAACCCGGCCTGCGGGCGCCCGAGCAGCTTCGCGCGCGCCTCGGGGACTCCCGGGCGGCGCACGGCATTGTGGGGTGGCGGCGGCGGGGCTGGGCCGAGCGGCGTCGCGCTCGGAGGGCCGGGGCCATGGCTTCCTGGGCAGCTCTTTCGCCCAGCATCGTGGAGTATTTCGACGGCGAAGACTCCTACCGCTGCGGCTATTGCAAGAATGAGTCGGGCAGTCGCTCCAATGGTGAGCGGGCCGGCGGGCGGGGGAGGGCGTCGGGGGCTCCGCGGCCGGCCGGCGTCCTCGGGGGGTTGGGGGGGGGTCTCGGCGCTCCGGCCCCGGGACGCGCGACGGCGGGAGCCCCCGGCCAGATCCTGTCCCGAGGAGGGTGTGCGGACCGCGGCTCGCCGGGGAGGGCCGTAGCCGTCACAATTAAAAACGGACCTGGGCTCTGGACTCGTCAGGGAAGCGTCTAGGGGCTTATTCTTCACACAGGTGGTCGGAAGTGCGGGGTAACGACGGTCTCGCGGTGGCCCGAAGTGTGGAAACAGGGGTCCGCCCTCCATCGGTAGGACCCGGTTCAGTATGTGACAGCGGGCCGGGCAGCCCCGCAGTGGTCAGTTCCGCCGGGCGGGCCTCCGAGCGCTGATGCTGATGTGGGGTCGTCCCCCGTTTCAAGCGCAGAATGCGGCGTGTCCGGTGGGCTGTTCGTGTACCGAGAGGCGCGTGTGCATACGTGGGCGTGGGCATCGGGGTACAGTGTCTCTCGAAGAGTATACGAGACGCTGGCGACGCGCCGTAGACGCTGCTGGCAGGGGAGCCTGGTTGTTATTAATGTGTTGGAACATTTTACCTGATTTATATGCTTTCTCGTTCCCCCGCCCGCCCCCAGAATGACCACAAAGCCAGTTTACAGTTTTGTTTTGTTTTTTTTCTCCGCCTCCCCCCCCCCCCCCCGCCCCGTCCTGGGTCGGGTTCCTTCTAGAAGATTTGTTGTTTGTAAACGAAGCATCGTGTTTATATTACCTGCTGTGTCATGCAGTGGCAGATATAGACTCTTGTATTTTAAGGAATTGTCCAGCATTGTGGAAAATGGGATAACCATGAAGATATAAATTTAGGCAGTTAAAAAATATGTAAATGTCCTACAGCAGGGGAATGATTTAGACGATTATGGTGTGTCCATTTACCCATTAGTTAAAATTGTTTATAGATGCTTGTGGGTAAGAGGGAATAGAATGTAATATAATGCACTCGTTAGGAGTGATGGTTATGAAGAGGAGCTAAGCAAAAAAATGTTGAGCGTGTAGGGTTACACGGAGGAAAACAGGATGCAAATAACACAAGTGGCAGATCTTTGGAGGATAAAAACCCAGGGGAAACACAGCAAATGGTGGCAGTGATTGCCTTAGGGTACCAGAGATGACCGGCCGCCCTTTTTCAGAAATCGGTATTGTGACTATAGTATGTGTGTAATAAGCACTTTATATTGTGTGTTTAAAATTAATATAGTCCGAGATCCTGAATTATTTTCCCGTTAAATTTAGTAAGAGGAAATTAATTAATATAAATGTCCTTTGTTTAAAGTTCTGTGGAAGAAATCGGTTTTCAACCTTTTCACCTAAAGAGACAACTGTAAATTTCCATCATATTTATTTTAGTTCTGACGATAATCTTTACTACAGGGCACAGCACCTATTCAGTAAGTAGGTTTTATTTTTCCTATTCTACAGATGATGAAATGGAGGCTCGTAAAGTAATTCAGCGTTAACGAGCGCCTGCAAGGCTTCTGGACTTTTCTGTTTCCGAATACAGCCTGTGCTATCAAGCCTACCTCTGTCTTTACATACTTCTGATACAGTTTGCTGTTTACAAGAGGAAAATGTATTTTCCAATTAACATTAATTCAGATATACCTTTTAATGTTTTCTCATCGTCTTCATGTTTTTTTTCATGGTTACGTAATTAATTATTTCATCATAATTGATAACATCCTAATCTCTGTAATGACTATTCCTGGGCATTTTGAATTGCTTTCAGTTTTTATACTTAAAAGGAATATTGCTGTACTTTTGTTCTATTTTCGATATCCAAGGCTATGCTAAAATCATAAAAATCAGAATTAAATGCATAAGAAAACATTTGCTTTCCAGTTTTTCTGAGGAGACCAGCTTATTAAATTATTAGGGATATTATGATGGTTAAAGGTGAAATGTGTCCTTGAGGACCTTAAATTTACAATGTCCAAGAGACTAGTGAGTAATTCTGAATTAAATATAACCACTTTGATGTGTTTGATTTTTAAGATTAAGGTAAATATCTTTTTCATTGGTGTTGTGTATCATGTCACACAAGTAGGAAGTATGTGCAAACTTTAATTTCTCCAGTGGGAGCTATTTTTTTTTTTTTTTTTTTTTTTGCTTCAGTCTTCACATTTAGAAAATGCTTTGAGTGTCAAAAAAAAAAAAAATTCAACCTGCTCTAATTAACTTGGGACATTGCACTTATTTTTTCAGGCATGTGGGCACATTCCATGACAGTACAGGATTATCAGGATCTCATAGACCGAGGATGGCGAAGGTAAAGCTCCTTAATACAAAAATGCTTCTCTTACTGCTCAGGCTCTTCTTACCGCGGCAAAATGTTATTTGCCTTTGAAATGTTTTCCTGTTGTTGGAAAAAGGTTTAAGACACTTTTACATTATATTATGTAGTGATTCCATTCTCTGTCCTTTTTTTTTATTTTTTTATTTTTTTTAAATATTTTTTATTTATTTCTAGGAGAGAGAGAGAGACAGCGTGAGCAGGGGAGGGTCAGAGAAAGAGGGAGTCACAGACTGAAACAGGCTCCAGGCTCTGAGCTGGCAGTCAGCACAGAGCCCAACGCGGGGCTCGAACCCACAAACCGCGAGATCATGACCCAAGCGAAAGTCGGACGCTTAACCGACTAAGCCACCCAGGCGCCCCTCTGTCCTTTTAAAGGTGTTTATTAGGAGGGGCGCCTGGGTGGTTCAGTCTGTTAAGCATCAGACTCTTGATTTAGGCTCTGGTCATGATCGTATGGTTGTGGGATTGAGCCCTGTGTCAGGCTTTGCACTGTCAGTGAGGATCCTCCTTGGAATTCTCTCTCTCTCTCTACCCCTCCCCCTTGTGCATGTGCCCTCTCTCCTTTTCCCTCTCTCTCTCCCCCCTCCATAAATATTAAAGAAAGATGTTCATTAGGAGAACTTCAAGCCTACATAAGTGTAGAGACTGCTTTATAATGAACCTCATATAGGTGACAGCAGGCTTCGACAGCTGTTAACATTTTGCCCATCTTGTTTCATCAATTCTCCTTGCTTCCTGCAAGGGTGTGTAGGTTTCTGTGTCATCCCCCACAACCCCTAGGTACGTATTTTCAATCCTAACCCTCAATGACAGTATTGGGAAGTGGGCCTTGGGGAGGTGATTAGGTCAGAGGGTGAAACTCTCATGAATAAGATTTGTATCCTTGTAAAAGAGACCCCAGAGAGTTCCCTTGCCCCTTCTGCCACGTGAGGTTACAACAGAAATATGAATCAGGAAGTTTGTCTTCATCAGACACTAAATATGCCAGCACCTTGATCTTGGAATTCCCAGCCTCCAGAACCTATGAGGAATACATTGTGTTGTTTATAAGCAACTCCATCTGTGGCGTATGATTAGAGCAGCTTGAAGATGCTCCCCCCCTCCCCCACAAAATAATTTAAAACAATTTTAGGTGTTCTGTCAATACATCTGTAATAGATACATGTTTCTAAGAGAGTATTCTTGTTTCCTTTTTAAGTCTCTACAATACCATTATACTTTACAAAATAATTCTTTGATGTCATCTGTTACTTAGTTTTGATGAGATTTTTGCTAGTCTCAAAATTGTCCTTTTTTTTTTTTTTTTTACTGTTTTATTTATTTCTGAGAGAGAGAGAGAGACAGCGTGAGCAGTGGAGGGTCAGAGAGAGAGAGGGAGATACAGAATCCAAAGACAGGCTCTAGGCTCTGAGCTAGCTGTTAGCACAGAGCCTGATACGGGGCTCGAACCCACGAACCATGAGATAATGACCTGAGCCGAAGTTGACTGAGCCACCCAGGTGCCCCAAAATTGTCCTTTTTTAATAGTTGGTTTATTTGAACCAGGATTCCCTGAAGGTTTACACATTGCCTTTGATGGCTAAGATTTTTTTGGTAATTATTTTTATATTGATAATTTTAGAGTAGATAAAGTTCTTTATGTAAACGTAAGCAGTGTTTAAGTGCCTTGTGCCAATACTCCCCGAAAGACACGAGATTGAGCACGACAAATGAAACTTCATAGCTTTCCTTAAACTTAACCATGAGACCCAAAAGGATGATCAGAAGGTCAGATGTTGAAGGATTTTGTATGCCAAGATGAGGAGCTTTTTTTTTTTTTTTAAAGGTGGAGGGGGAGCCTTTGAAAGCCTTTATGTCAGAAGTGTGATGGAATTTGTGCTTTGGAAAGGACCATTCAGATAGTAGAGCTGTGTTTGGGGCGGCGGGGCGGGGGGGGTGATTCTGAAGGCAGGAAGACCCGTTCCAAAGATCACTGCAGGGTCCAGATATGAAATAGTCATCTCATGGCGATGCCGTCGTCATCAGTGGCTATAGGTTAGAAGACAGATGAAAGCAGATGGATGTAAGGTACATTTCAGAAGTAGAAAGCTTACTGATGGGATATAGAAGTGCCTTAAAGGGAGGAGTCTGAGATGACTCCCAGGTTTGGCTCGGGAACTGAACTCGTGTGTGTTTGCCTGGATGGCCATAACTAAATGCCACCGACTGGGTGTCTTGTGTCTATATTCTCACGGTACTGGAGGTTGAAATTTCCAAAATCCAGGTGTTTTCAGCTGTATTTTTTTTCTCAAGGCCCTTCCTTGGCTTGTACATTGTTATCTTCTTGCTGTGGCCTCATGGGGTCCTTTCCCTTTGCATGTATCGTTCTTGTGCCTGGTATCTCTTTGTATGCCCGCTTCCTTTTTCTTATACGCACACCATGCAGATTGGGTTAGGGCCCATGTTAACTGTCATTTTAACTTAATCCCCTCCTTAAAGGCCTCCTCTCCAAAAGTAGTCCCATTCTGAGGTCGTGGGGGCTCGGGCTTCGAAATGCGAATTCTGAGGGGACAGTTCATTCTGTAATGTCATGGTTCTGCCATTAACCGAGATCCAGAAAGCACTGGAAGGATCAGGTTAATTTTGGGCTTCGTTGTGCTCGTGCACATGGAGCCCTCGAGTGTGGATAGCGTAGGCTGTGGCACACATCAGCCTCCCCGCATGCCAGGCAGTTTTCTCTTCTTGCTTTCATGGCATTGAGGATGGGTGGTGGGCTGAGGCCTGGAACTGCAGGTGATGCTCCGAGGGGAGCGGAGGTGAAGAGGCCTGGGGTAAAGTATGTCAGGGTTTAGGGGTAAAGTATGTCAGGGTTTAGGAAAGAAAATGCTGGGTTCTGTGCTTGCTGTGCCCGTGTTGCAAGATTGCTTGGGTTATGAGGAATAGCTAAATCTAAATGTCTTTACGTTATCGATTAGATTTTTCCCGTAATTAATTTTGTGTCCATGTACTAGTCTACTTTGGCACCTGTGAGAAACATATGAGATATTAACAAAACATTTTTCAATTTTAGAAGCGGAAAATATGTGTACAAGCCTGTCATGAATCAAACCTGTTGTCCTCAGTACACGATAAGGTAAGAAAGAGGGTCTATCTCTGTAATGTGAAGATGTCATCTAATTTCTTAGTGGCATGTTGCTTTTTTTTACCTGGTAACTTTTGTTCTAGGTAGACCTCCTTTATAAAGAAAAGCAAGCAAATTGTATCTTGTTTACATAGTGATGCTACATTTATATGTCATTCATAGCTATTTATAATACTCTGTAATGGTTTGGGTGTAAGTATGATATAAAAAAGCATACTACTTAGTATTCCAGTCAGTGATATTCTAACATATTATGAAAATATCAGAAAGTATTCAAATTTTTTTAGACATCAAAACTTTTATAGAATTTAGCTTAGGAGTTTCCACATTCTAGTGTGTTAACCAGACACAGTGCTCACATTCCCGTGGTACGATAGGATCTGTAGAGAGGGGCGGGGCTGACACTTAATCTGCCACATGGATTCGGAGTCCATTTTTCTTCACTGCAAAACTTCAGCTAAGAAGCCTATTTTCCTACAAAGTGATTGCTTAACCAGCAAACCCCAGCCTAACGTGGAAGGATTTAACCTTCTCAGATTGTAAAGGTCCTCCTCCTCTTCTCTCTTGTTGTCTTCCTTGCCTTCCTCTTCTGGTAGAAAATAGGGAAAGATGTTAGCATTGTTAAGCACTTGAGTACAGTTTCACTGTAAATACATTCTCTAGGTAAAACAAACACGGTTGTATCCATCGTGTTTTGGCTGGTCTTCACACCTCTCTCCCGTCTCTTAATTTGTTTTGGGGGTTGAAGACTGTTTTGACAATCTGATGAAAAGTTGTAGACACTCTCTGCAACAAAACAAAAGAGAGAGAGGAGCCTCTAGGCAAGAATATGTCACGTTTTGCCGATGAATTTTAGGATGACCATAGACTCCTAGACCTAGGAACTGACCATAGAATCAGTTCCACTGATTCGTGGTTAAGAATCCATTCTGTCTAACTGGTCCTAGGACTTGGACAATAAAGAGATGGCCGTCTGATTTGCTGACACCACCTCACTTCTCATACAAGGAATAAAATGACAGAATTGTGCTACCCTCTTTCAGTTTTAGTGGTTATGAAGCAGTGACATCATCAAAGGCAGAAGTCATTTTCCTACAAATAGCAGTTTATTATTGGATTATGGCCAGGATTCAGTTTAAGTAAGTTTGGAGCTGATCGGCTTGAACCCAGAGAGTCTAATCAGAAAACGTCAATTCCAGTGGGTTAAAGAAAAAAGACAAAGCTTCTATAATTTATTGGGTGCCTCTCAAGGCAAAGCACTGTTCCAGGTATATTGCTTTTATGAAAAGGGATTCAACTAACATTGCAAGACAGAGTAATTATAAAATGTGATTTTTTTGCATGAAATCAGACATTTCCTGAGTTATCTTCTGTACAACTTCATTATATGTATTGATGCTGTGGAGTCATTTTGCATGCTTACTCTGCTGGGGTTTTTTTGTTTTTGTTTTTTTTACTTTATTACAGTAATAATGAGACCTAATGTAAAGGCAAGGTGCTTATAAGCTACAACCTAGCTTCCTGTTAGATTTCAGGGGCTGCCTGGTGTGTGAGTTTAACTGGGGATGAGCTTCCTTGACTATGATTTTTTTTTTTGGTTTTTATTTTTTATGTAGAATTCTATGCTAATAATTTAAAAAAAATCAAACATTCCATAAAATGTATTGGGCAAAATTGCAGTCCCCTGAACCTTCTTGTTTCCTCTTTCCCAGTTTCCCAGTCCAGGACACTCAGTTTTTTTTAATGGATTCTTTTGTTTTTCCTTTTTCCTACCTTTAAGTGAGATGCTCATATAATTATATATCATTATCTTTGGGTTTTTCTCATTATCTCTGTATTTCTCTCTTTGAAAGATATGGATTCAACTTTATTTTTTCTTACTATTTCTGGGTTTCTCTCTCTAAAAGATAAGGACTTAACTTTATTGCATCCCTATTTCCTTGTCACATTTAAGCTCCATTTTTTCCTCATTGTCAACTTCCCAGCTTAGAAGTATTGTAATGTTAAATAGGTGTAATCTCTTTATTGTGACCTATAAATATGCCTTACAGTTGAGTCACGTAGAGTCCTCTGATCTTTCTTTCCTGCACAAGTTTGTGCCTTCCACGGAATTGATAATTGTCTCCTATGTACCCGTCACCAATTAGAAATACTTCCACAGTAGTGTACATTTTGTCTTGGTACTTTTTTTTTTTTTTTTTTTTTTTTAAATGTTTTATTTATTTCTAGGAGAGAGACAGCGTGAGCAGGGGAGGGTCAGAGAGAGAGGGAGTCACAGACTGAAACAGGCTCCAGGCTCTGAGCTGGCAGTCAGCACAGAGCCCGATGCGGGGCTCGAACCCATGAACCACGAGATCATGACCTAAGCGAAAGTCAGACGCTTAACTGACTAAGCCACCCAGGTGCCCCTGTCTTGGTACTTTGAGACAACTTCCGGTACTCTGTCACTTTCATCTTCCTGATGAGTAGAGTACCTGTGTGTCCTCTTCCGACCTGCTCTCATCTGGGCAGATTGTCTTCTGGCTCCTGCGTCGCTGTCACTCTGAGATCGCTCTTTACTGCTATCTGGGGATTTTCTTTGGATTTCTTGTTAGATCCGTGTCTCCTGTCTCCTCTGACCTCTTTTTCTTGGAGTTTTTCCTCATTTTCATGAAGCACATTTAATAGTTTTCTGAGTAAGAGTGCCTGAGAAGTTCTTTTTAGACTTTGTACATTGAAAATGTTTTTATTATTTATTTTTGAGAGAGAGAGAGCGATTGAGTGCGAGCAAGCAGGGGAGGGGTGGAGAGAGAGGGAGACACAGACTCTGAAGCAGGCTCCAGGCTGTCAGCACAGAGCCTGATGCAGGGCTTGAACCCACAAACCTTGAGATCATGACCTGAGCCAAAGTCGGACGCTTAACCGACTGAGCCACCCTGGCGCTCCGAAAAGGATTTAATTCTTTACTCAAACTTCTTGTTTGGCTGAGATATAGAAGTGTAGATTGGAAATACTTTCGCTTTAGAATTTTGAAGGCTTTGCTCCATTGCCTTACTGGTATTAAGTCAGGTAGTATTCTGATCCCTGTTTCTTTGTGCAGATTGTTCTTTCTTTGGGGAAGTTTTTTTTGTCCCCAGTTTTCTGTTCGGTGGTGTCTTTGCATCCATTGCATATGGACTTACGTGGTCCTTCTTACCTGGGACCTCCTCCCACCATTATCCTTCACGGAAATCTTTTTTTATTTTGTTGGTCTTCTTCCCTCCAGATTCTTTCTTCGATTCCATTATAACTGCTTATAATGTTTTTATTCAGTTATTGAACTTAAAAATTAATTAAAAATTAGGGTGATCCTCTATTTTTCTCTTCATTTTTCCATCACTTTGCTTTATCTTTTGGGAGATTTCCTCAACTTTCAAAATTTTGTTTAATTTTTTTATTCTGTTACACTTTTTCTTCTGGTAGAGTTCTTTTTGCACTCTTTTTTTTTTTTTGGTAACCTCTCATTCTTGTGTGACTGTATCTTGTGTGACTGTAGTAGCCAAAGAGAAATAAAAGTGTTCTGAGGATATTTTTATTTGTATTTTTTTAGGCTCTCTCGTTCCTCTGTACTCTGTATTCTCCAGTGTTTTTGGCAACTTAGCTTTGTAGAGCTTCCCCCCAAGTATCTGGTGATTCTCCCTTTCCAGTGGAGATGCCTGAGGACAGTATCTTGGGGTCTGATCACATTCTGGAGAGAAAGTGCCAGTTTTTGTGGCTAGGTTGGAGAAATGGTTTGAAAGTCTCAACATTCAGGATGTAGACTTACCTTTAGGCTTCCTTTTTCTAGTCCAGTTCCATTGCTTTCCATTGTGCCTGTATCCTCATGTAGGAGGCCCTCTTTTTTTTTTTTTTTAACCCTTTCCTAAGTTTGTAGCTTTCTGCTGGGTTGTGTAGGGAGTCGTGTGTGTGTGTGTGTGTGTGTGTGTGTGTGTGTGTGTGTGGTGGGGGAGGGCATCAGACATCTAACTGCTTCCAAAACAGACTTTCAAGATATGTTTCTACTTTTAGACCCACTTTCACACTTATCTCCTGAGGTATCAGGTATCACCAGTCCCTAAAACTTTTAGAGTTAATGTAGAGAGATTGGTTGTCTCTCTGGCTTTTCAACAGTGTTGGTTTAGGATTCAGCATTCTTTGGTCTGTGAAGTCAAGTTACCACTTAACACCTGTGCTAGCCAGCTTCCAACATTTCTCTTATTCTCCTTTTCCCAGTGATTCATGTCTTTCTCTTTTTTTTTTTTTTCTAATTCTTTAATGTAGTTTTAGTGAGATTTGGGATGAGACTAGAAGCTAGGTAAAGCCCTGTCTTTACCCAGAAATCCCAGGCATGAGGTTTGCCTCACTGTACTAGATACTATCCAGAACTCATTTTATTTCTTCATGGTTTGAGTTCACTTTTTAAATATTTGTTTTGTTTTCCTAGGTGCCGACCTTTACAGTTTCAGCCATCGAAATCTCACAAAAAAGTTTTGAAGAAAATGTTGAAATTTTTGGCCAAAGGGGAAATTTCCAAAGGAAATTATGAGGGTAAGATGAGATTGGGCCTAAAAACTTTTTACCGTGATGTAGATTTTAGGTTTCCAAGGTTTTCATTTTTGGGTATTTCTAAAGCAGGTGTAGAGGGTCCTCGCTATAGTCAGGCACTTCTGTTAATCTGAGGATGGTGATTACTGTTAGTGTTGCTGGTACTGTTGCCACTGGCCCGAAGGTCGACGGTATGGGGAATGTCTGTCAGGGAAAGGGAAAATGTAGGACAGTTTTACAGCTCTTGTGATTTCCTGGAGTTTATTGGAACTTAAGTTTTCACAGTATTTTGACAACTGTTACTTGGTCCTTATAACACCATGTGGAATAAATAGAAAGTAGTAGAATGTCTGAGAAACAGATGTTTAGGTGCACCTTACGCAAGATTATACAACCACATTGAATGCTGAGTGAAGCCCAGGTTTTCTTTGTTCGAGGAAGCCATTACTTCAGTAAATCATCATATTGCCTGAAATTTTCTCACTTGTGTGACAAATTTTGAATTGTGAGTCAGTTTCCTAAAAGATAATTAGTAACCCGTAATTAACTTTGGTTTACAGGTACTTTCTTTTTCAGTTTTTTCAGTGTCTTTTCTTTTTAAAAGTTTTCCTCTAGGCCATGTCTAATCCATGGGCATAATAATTGGGAATGCCAGGTGTTGTTAGAGCTCTTTCTCACATCTGTCCTAGGAAGTGCCCAACCCTGGGAGCCTTCCATCCACTTTAACTAGTTAATACATTCCCCAAGTATGTTTTCAGTGCCCACAATGTGCCAGTCCCTCTTTTAAGCCCTGGTGATACAGTGACCAGCAGGCCACGTAACTTCGTTGCTCTCAGGCACTGCCCTTAAAGGATTAGGATTCAGGACATCATGGAACAGACTTGGCAGAGATGTGGGCACCAACAAGCCTGGAATGTCTTGTGGGGTCCAGAGGTTCAGGGGCAATTGGGCATTGGGAACATCAGAATTTTGGTACAACTCTGATTAGTATCGTCCACATAGTCTTAAAGACCAAATACATTTTGTTGGTTGGTCAAAAATTTTTTTCAGTGGCTGGGAATCATTTTCCGAGTTTCAAAACTTAATATTCAGATGAGCGTTGAGGTGCCTTCCGTTGATGATTGCCTGTCTTTATGCGTAGCTTTTCCATTTGGTTCTTTGTTTGACTTGCTATAGACTTATAAATTATTTATCTTTGCAAGTTAACTCATAGGAGTGATATACTTGTTAAAGTAGAAGGGTAAATAGCTATGAGAAAAGGACCCCAACATGCAATGACTAACAAATGATAGAAGTCTGTTTCTTGCCTAGTGTGACAGCCCAGTGTGGGGGTTTCATGTTAGCCTATGGTCTGCTCTGACCCCAGCCATTCTGGGATTCTCTTCAACATGTAATTTCCAAGCTCACACTGGTTTTTACTCATCCAGTCAGTGGGGAGGGGAGAGGGTGAAAGTTCAGGGTTACAAATTTCCTTTAAAAACAAGTGAGGCCAGGGGCGCCTGGGTGGCTTAGTCGGTTAAGCGTCCGGCTTTCGCTTGGGTCATGATCTCGTGGTTTGTGGGTTCGAGCCCCGCGTCGGGCTCTGTGCTGACTGCCTGCTCAGAGCCTGGAGCCTGTTTCAGTCTGTGACTCCCTCTCTCTCTGACCCTCCCCTGCTCTCTCTCTCTCTCTCTCTCTCTCTCCTAGAAATAAATAAAACATTAAAAATTTAAAAAAAAAAAAAATAAAAACAAGTGAGGCCAGATTGGACCTATCCGTTTGGTTCTGATCCACTGGTAGGAGCTTGGTCACAACTTGTGGAGGGACCGGGGCACATTCCCCTGCTTGGGTGCCACAGTTTTAACTACAGCTCTGTTACTTTGGAAGGTGGGAGAATGGATCTGATGCACACACAGTAGTCTACCACATTGGAGAAAAGGTGCTTTTTTTTTTTTTTTTTTAAACTATGTGTGTGTAGTTGCATCAGATGGCCTGGCTGATGGACTTTGATTTTTTCTGATTTGTAGATGAGCCCATGGAGCCCACCATGGAGGACACTGTTGCTGGCGACTTTGGATTAATAAATAAATTGGATATACAGTGTGACCTTAAAACGTTCAGTGATGACCTCACAGAGCGCTTCGAGAGTGAAGAAAAAAAGAAAGGAAAAAGCCCAAAGGAAGAAGAATCCAGTGAATTAATTCAGTCACAAGCTATGGAGGAGAAGCTAGGCTCTGGTGAGCCGTCGCATCCAGTGAAAGTACCCTCGGTTCCTAAGCCAGGTAGTGCGAGTTTACTCTGTGACCTTTATACAGTCCTCGTGATTTTCTTTGTGCTTGAGATGTTGTCGCCCCTGGGCGCTCTCATCAGCTAAAAACAGGAGTTATGTGAAGTCTATAAAATCCCTGTTTTGTACAACTTATTATTGCCTAGATTTAGATGGACAAATCACATCTTTTAAAAACTGCTATTTTTTAAAAAGCCTGAAATAATAGTTTTATTATCCTCCAATACAGATATTTTTAAAGAGTGCCATTTCTTACTACCCTAGGACCTTAGAGTTTGAGAATCACATTTTTATTTGTGTATGGATATGGTGTGAAACATTTTTATTTTTGGTGCGAAGTGAGACAAAGTAAATTTTATGTTTTATTTCATATTATTATGTTCAAAGTACAGACATTATAAAGTTTAGTTTGTCATTAGATTTCTTTATGTAATGTTAATGAATTTTAGTTTAAAAATTCCCAGATTTTGATATTTCATTACATTTAATAAGGTCAGATTTTTTTCCTATGTTTTCTCTTTAAAATACTTAGGTTTTAAAATTTTATCCAATTTTTAGGGGCACCTGGGTGGCTCAGTCAGTTGAGCCTCCGACTTGGGCTCAGGTCATGGTCTGCGGTTTGTGGGTTCGAGCCCCATGTCGGGCTCTGTGCTGACAGCTAGTTCAGAGCCTGGAGCCTGTTTTGGATTCTGTGTCTCCCTCTCTCTCTGACCCTCCCCTGCTCACACTGTCTGTCTCAGAAAAAAAAAAAAAAATCTAATTTTAAATGGGTTTGTTATATATATGTGTGTGCATGCATGTGTTTGTATGATTTAAAAATTTTTCTTTTATCTTTTCAAAATGTTTATTTTTTAAAGTGTTCATTTATTTATTTATTCGGCGGGGGGAGGGGCAGAGAGAGGAAGAGAGAGAATCCCAAGCCGGTTCCGCACTGTCCGTACAGAGACCTATGTGGGGCTCAGTCTCACAAACCGTGAGATCATGACCTGAGCCGAAATCAAGAGTCAGATGCCTAACCAACTGAGCCTCCCAGACACCCCTGTATGATTTTTAAAAAAATTATTTCATAAAATGTCAATTTGGATGTTTATGTTTCAGTTCCTTAATTTATTTTTACATTTATTTATACAAAATGATCCAAAGGAGAGATTTTTATTACTGTGATAGTTTTTCTTGTCTAAATCTTATTAATGCACAGAAAGCTTTGGTTTGCATTTTTTTAAAAACATTCATTTTTGAGAGAGAGAGAGAGCGCACGCGTGTGCGCGCAAGTGGGGGAAGGGCAAAGATGGAGACAGAGGCTCTGCACGGACATCAGAGAGCCTGATGCAGGGCTTGAACTCACAAACCATGAGATCATGACCTGAGTCGAAATCAAGAGTCAGATACTTAGCTGACTGAGCCGCCCCTATTGTAGTTAAAATTTTTGTATCTTAAAGGCCTTTCAGTTTGATATTTGCTCTTTTAATACAAGCAAAAACTCTCATTAACTGAGCTGAACTAATGAGGCCTTTTAGTTAGATGGAGAGACACGGATATCTTCAATGAAGCAGAAGTATTTTTTTATTAAAAAACTGCCAGAGTGTTTCCTGGAATCAGTATTCGTGTATGTCCAGGTCCTAAGCATTTATTGATGTCAAAAATGATTTGAGAGAAATGTCCCTCAGAAATCTGCTGGAAACATTCATGTCCTGAAGCAGAAGATAATTGATTATGTTTTTTCCTACTTATAAAGGCAGAGAAATGGATGAATATTAAAATTTGTTTTTTTAAATTTCCCCAGTAAAAGCTACCTGAAAAGTTTCTGTGACTATTTATTTTCTTTGACAGTTCCTGCTTCTAAGATAGATTTTTAAAAAAATTTTTTAAATGTTTATTTGTTTTGAGGGAGAGAGTGAGAGAGAGATAGCTTGAGCAGGGAAGGGGCAGAGCGAGAGGGAGCTACAGAATCCCAAACAGGCTCCAGGCCCTGAGCTGTCAGCACGGAGCCTGACACAGGGCTCAAACTCACAAACTGTGAGATCATGACCTGAGCCGAAGTCGGACACTCAACCGACTGAGCCACCCAGGTGTCCCTAAGATAGAATTTTAGGATTGACTTAGAGCTCTACATCAGAATCTTCTGAAGTATCTACCCACAAAACTAACCTAACTGTTGGAATTCTTTGGACCTAATTTTGTAGACTCTTTGAGACTTTTGACCACATTTCTTGAGTCAAATGTAAGTGGTCTAATATTTTGAAATTGTTTTTAGGCAAAGGAGCAGATTTGAGTAAGCCTCCCTGTCGAAAAGCAAAGGAAATCCGGAAAGAAAGGAAAAGGTTAAAACTCATGCAGCAGAACCCTGCTGGACAGCCTGAGGGTTTCCAGGCTCAGGGTGAATCACCATCGTTGTTCCCACCAAAGGCCAATAAATCCAACCAGCCCAAATCACTTGAAGATTTAATTTTTGAATCTTTACCAGAGAATGCTTCACATAAGCTGGAGGTACTTCGGAGGGCGTTTTATTTTATTTTGTTGTTGTTGGGTACTTTATTTTCATTTGAGGTTATACTACCAGTTGATGTTTTGTTGTTTAGATTACGGGAAATGAAAGTGAATTGGGATGGAGTAGCGTTTGTATTTACTAAGTTTATTGCTACTTGAGAAAACCCTTTTTCTTTTTTAAGATTTAAAGGAAATATTTTCGGCAGAAAGTTGTGAAAACCATTCCAGTTTTAGCATGTTACTCTGCAAGGGACTCTGGCTTTTTGTATCCCTTGACTGATATTTAGTAGTGAAAGAGATAAAATATACTATTTAAAATTTCATCTTTGGCAGTTTTGGTTAGATAGTGCAGGAGAAAAGATCACAGTAGGCAAATAATTGTTTTTTATCCATTCTAATATTCTGAACTTGACCAAGGCAACAGATGGTATTATATACGCAAGACAGCAACTAGGAATGAACTAAATAGTACGAAGTTGTCCTATTGCAGTCCTTTCTCAGTAATTTGCTCAAACCAGTGTAGGCATACTATGAATACTTCTAGAGTATTCCTGTTATTTTTGATTTACATTCCAAATTAATTCTACATTTTTTTAGTATTTGGTATTTATACATTTTTTCCCCTTAAAACATTAACGATAATGATTTTATGCTCATATCTCATTAGTAACTGGGTAGCCTTTGAAATTTTGTCTAAGAGTATCACTAAGGACCTGTTATTAAAAAATTAATTTTAATGCAGTCTCAACCTTAGGATGATATATGTTATTAGACTTTTGTGGTAACAACTTTGTTATAATTCCTTAGGCTGTTCTGATTTTGGTATTGACACTTTCTCCTTCCCAAATTAAAAAGAATTGAACCCACTACTTAACGTATTTTATGAGGCGTCTGTTATCTTGTGACCATAAGTGATAGTGTGTCAGGGCACCAGCCCCATCTAGTGTGTTGTAAGTAAGCAGCTTTACTTTTTTAATGATAGCTAGGATGGGCAGAGAATTTATGTCCACTGTATGTCCCTCTTTTTGGAGAATTACTTCTTAGGGCACACATGAAAATTTTCTACTTAGCCTTTTTATTATATTGTACTCGATTTTCTGTTTTACTATTCTGTTTTGCTAACACATTTTAACTGGCTAGTAAATAGTCAATGTAAAAACACATCAACTTTACTGTGTAATTACGGTTTTTCACTCCTCAATTTTACGTATGAGGAAACTAAGCCACAGAGAATAAATTTATTTACTTGACCCAAGACGGTGACGTTAAAATTTGAGTAAAAGAAATCTGACTTTAGACTCTTCATTCTTAACACTGCCATGAGGTACACATACTTGTGAGGGTTGCCTTTGACACTTACAAAAAAAAGAAACTTGTAAGTTTAGAGTTAGCAGTGAAGCATGAAGAGTGTCTAAAACATATATTCACATTTTTAGTCTTTCTGACTGATTCACTGAAGGTGGGTTGCATGCAACGAAAAGAGTATTTATTTGTGTTGTTCCTGGAATGCCAGAAGCACTTTGCCATTTTGCCATAAAGTCTTGTCTTCTGTAATTCAGTCGTAGGTCTCAGTCTTAGACAGAATCCTCTGCCTTTTAAATGAATCTGTAAGTTGTAGAAATAACTTTTTCAAATGATTTACTATCTGGTTGATTCTTAATGTTAAAATATTATCATGGTTTATGTTTTAATATTTGTGTGGAAACATTTTTTTTTTTTGGGTGGGAGTGATTGTTTTAATGCATATTCTGTGGAATAAATACATAAATTAATGAACATTGTTTTTTAACTCCTTCTGAAGGTGAGGGTGGTGAGATCATCTCCAGCAAGTTCTCAGTTCAAAGCCACATTTCAGGAGTCTTACCAGGTCTATAAACGTTACCAGATGGTTATTCACAAGGACCCACCTGATAAACCAACTGTGAGCCAGGTCAGCAGGCCGAGTGTAATTTTTTTGTGCAAATAGAACTTCCCCCTCCATTTGATATCATTGTATGAAAACTTGGTTTATTTGTGGTGCATTTGATTTATATTCAGTTTGCAGCATATCTGCAACATGATAGGACCGTGGATTAAAGGACATTCTGAAAGTGCAAATTTTACCTAGCACATGTTAAGTGCCAGTCATGTATAATTTCAGAGTGGAGAGTAACACACAGAATGAGTTATCTTTATTTCAAGTAATGATGTCTAGATGTATTTATCTAAAAACTAGTAATAAATAGAACTCTAAGATAAAATATGAGGGGAAAAAGGCAAAAAGCCTTTACATTTTTATCATAGGTGTACTTTGAACAACATCATTAATATGCTTTATCTCCATGTAAACGTCATGTATTGACAGAGTTCATAACAGTTAAATTATTCTTTGTTGATGTACTACCCATACAGAACAGTGTGGAACTAGAAAAGTAAGATAGTAGAATTTTTTTGAGATCATGGAATATTTTAATAGAAGTTCACATATGCTTGTAATTTTATAAATCATATTACCCAAGAAAAATCTGGAAGGGGAAAAATCTTAAAACACTTAATGCGAGTAGAGGGGACAAAAGTAGTGACCGTTACCATGATCAACATTGTGACAACAGGTAGAAAGAGTAAAAAACATAGTAAAAGAAAAATAAATTGTCCTGGTCCCTGTGAGTTAAAAATTTCCTAAGTGCTAGTATAAAGTTAGCGTTTGAGGCTCTGTGCCAGTCAGCACGTTCCAGGGTTCATTCATTTCATGAAAAATCCCAGCACTGAGCTTTGGAAGTGGATTTGCGGAGATCTTACTCTGGCCTCACCTTCAGAAGCATGTCATCAGGTAGAGGTGTTTCAATAGCATTTGCTTGTATCTTCCTTGCTCTGAAGGTGAGGTTAGTACCTGTCTCCTTTGAGGACCCAGAGTTCAAGTCGTCCTTCAGCCGGTCATTTTCTCTGTATGTCAAGTATCAAATGGCCATACACCAGGACCCGCCCGATGAGTGTGGGAAGACTGAGGTACCTTTTGTTACACATTTTTTCCTGTCTTGATGAGGCTGTCTGAAGAAGCATAACAGAGAACTTTCTTTGGCTCTTTTCTTATTTAAGTAGAGCCACTCATCCTTTTCAGTGTATGTTACTAAACTTTTGTGAAAATTCTCTCTGAGAACCTGGTGTAGCGTGTTCCTGTGTTCAGTCCTCAGGCTAAGTCGGCAAACATCACTGAGTGCCGGTTCGGTGCCCAAGCAGGTGCCGTGGCACAAAGGGGAGAGTCTCTGCCTTTTGAGGAGTCAATAATCAAATGGGGAAGATGGGCCAGTGGACACACCTATCTAAACAAGCCAGGGGGAAACAGTGAAACATGTTGAGATTATATGGAACACCATTTAAAGCATTTATTGAGGGCCTGTAAGCTTCCAGGCTGGGGATCTTTAGATGAATGAGAGATTGTGTAATTGTTGCAGGGAAGTGGTTACATTGGAAGAAAGATGCCAACAGATGCAGAAGAATTCAAGTTTTGATTTTTTTATTTTCGTTTGCTTTTTAATGGCGTAGACTGTTAGCCTAACAGAGATGATTAGTAAGACAGGGGTTAATGCTGTATGATCCCTCAGAGAGGGCTGGCTTCCAGGTCTCCTGGCACCTTAGTTTTGAAGTGGAGTCTGCAGACAACAGCATCCCCCTGGGAGGAAGGCAGAATCTGGGTCCCACTGTGGCCCTGCTGAATCAGAGTCCGCATTTTGAATCCGGCCTCCGGGTGCTTCGTATGCACCTTCCAGATGCCATGCGTGGTTCCCTGCCGAGGCCTGAAGGAGTGTGCCAGGTGCCAGGACGCTCCCTTTGATGTTCTCAGGGTGTCTTGTGAACATGACTTCCTCTTACCCTGGGGATCCTGACTTTGTGCCTGCCTGCCTGCCTGCCAGGGACGGGTGGCTGGGCCGTAACACCAGGACGTGGTCCCATGTGTTCACTTGCCGAAGACTACTTTCCTGGGACTTCCCCCGCTTAGGCTTCAGGCCTCTGGGGAGTCCAGTCCTGCAGACTAGTCCGTTAAAGGTGTTCACAGTCCGGGTAGGGCAACAGGCGCGGAAGCAGGTCCGGTGCCATCAGGGCTAGCTCTTGGCTCAGCCGGGAGAGCCAGCCTGGTGTGGGGCTGGGGGTTACAGAGGTTTCCCTGAGGGAAGTGACGTCTGAGCCAAGTCTTACAAGGTAAGTAAATGCGTGTCAGGCCAAAAGGGAGAAGGGCGCTCTCGGCAACAGAACTGTACGTAAGAAGTGTAAAGTGCCACCTATGGGATATTCTTGCTAAAGATACTGACCCTGAATTACGAGCTTCTAGTGGTAATAACCAGGTCACACACATAAAAAAATACAAGAGATAAAAGGACACCTGGGTACTTCTACGAAACAAATATATAAATAAAGTGTTTTAGCAAAAGAGGGAGGGGGCACCTGGGTAAGTTGTTTGAGCATCCAATTCTTGACTTCAGCTCAGGTCATGGTCTTGCAGTTCATGGGTTCAAGCCTCATATTTGGCTCTGTGCTGGCAGAATGGAGCCTGCTTGGGATTTCTCTCTCTGTCTCTCGTGTCTCTTTCTCTCTCTCAAAATAAATAAACTTAAAAAAAAAATAGGAAAATCTCTAGATTAAAAGTTATAAGCTTTAAAATATATAACTAATACCGTAATCACCCAGCAAAATTAATAATCAGGTCATCTAATCCCCAGTAGATGTTCACTGTTTTTCAGTTGTCTCAGAAATGTCTGCGTGGCTGCTGTGGTTGGATCAGGATCCTTGCAAGATCTAGACGTCACGTTTGGTTGATAACTCTCTTAACGTCTTTTAATTCAAAATAAGTCCACCTCTTGTTTTTAATAGCATTTTACAAATATATTTTTTTATTCTTTTTTTTAAGTTTATTTATTTATTTTTAGAGAGAGTGTACTGTTTTGCAAGTGGGGGAGGGGCAGAGAGAGAAGGAGACAGAGAATCCCAAGCAGGCTCTGCACTGCCAGCACACAGCCCGACGTGGAGCTCGAACCCACAAACTGTAAGATCATGACCTGAGCCAAAGTTGGATGCTTCACCGACTGAGCCACCTCGGCGTCCCATGAAACAGGGTTGTTTATCTTAGAATTAATTTTGCTTTTTTTGTTGATACTTTTTGAAAATGTAAGCAAATATATATGTGGTATCTATATGTGTGACCTTCTTGTATACGTGATGTGTGTGTATACATATGTATCTCTGTACTCACGGTTTTATAACATACCAGTACGTACACAGAGTGGAGCTAGAGAATTCCCATTTTGTTGTTAAGAAATGTGGTAGCGGGCGCCTGGGTGGCTCTGTCGGTTGAGCGTCCGACTTCGGCTCAGGCCATGGTCTCACGGTTCGTGAAGTCAAGCTCCGTGTTGGGCTCTGTGCTGACAGCTAGCTCAGAGCCTAGAGCCTGCTTCAGAATCTGTGTCTCCCTCTCTCTCTGACCCTCCCCTGCTCACACTGTCTCTCTCTCTCTCTCAGAAATAAATAAAACATTAAAAAAAACCCCAAAAACAAACAAAAAGGAAAAGTGGTAAGACTTGACAGGCAACAAAAACCAAAGTTGATTTTTTTTTTTTAAAGAAGAGATTTACAGTAAAACCTTGGTTTGTGAGCGTAATTCGTTCTGGAAACATGTTTGTAACCCAAAGTATTTGTATATCAAAGTGAATTTCCCCATAAGAAGTAATGGAAACTCAGATGATTCATTCTACAACCCAAAAATATTCCTATAAAAGTGATTACAATACTACAGTAGAATACAAAAGAATAAAATATGAAATATGAAATACAAAGAAAAATGAACAAATTAACCTGCACTTAACCTTTTGAAAACCTTTGTGGCTGGTGTGAGGGAGACAAGAGAGAGGAGGGTTATTATGTAGGACGACTTTCACTATCACCACCGGAATCACTGCTATCTGTTGGTTCAATGGAATCTTTTTTGCGTGGGGGCTGTTGAATATGCTTGCGTGGATGTTGACTCCAGTACAGTATTGATAAATTTGTCATATGCTGTATTTAATGTAACTGGCAATAAGGCAGCAGAGGAAAGGTATATATCTGCAGGCAGCCTGACCTAGAATGAAACAAAGCATTCCTAAGCTTACTCTTGTCTGGAAAAGCAAAGGACTGTCCGTAGGTGCTTTAAAGTGACAAAAAATACACTAGTGCCAGTTGTGGGCACCTTCCAATGTTCTGAAAAATCACTGATTTCTGCCAAACATTGCAGCCTGAGACCTGAGCTCCAAGCATGGGAGATGATCACCCATAATCTCACAGTGAGAGAGAGAAGAACCATTGGCTCACAGTGAGAGAGAGAGAGAGAGAGAGAGAAGAACCATTGATCATGTGATGTTCAACGTCATGTACTACTCATATTGCAAGACATCACTCGTTTATCAAGTTACAATTTATCAGAAATGTTTGCCTGTCTTGCAGAACACTCGCAGAACAAGTTCCTGGAAATCCAAAGTTTTACTGTATTTGCTTATGTAACAAAGAGGTTTGGGGAAAATACCATCAGGTCTCCTGCTTGTGGTCTCCTTGCTCCCTTTCCCTGCAGGGGTTGAATCTCAAGCAGGCACATGGTGGCAGAGATGAGTACTGCCAGTGTGAGGTATGTTACTCTCACAATGAGTGATCTCAGCAACAATGTGTGTTTTTTAACTTATTTCAGTAAGAAGTCTTGAGGAAGGTGCTTACTGGCTCAACCTGAGATGCATCCTTATCCCTGAGTCCGTCACTGTGACTGGGGGGCGGAGAATTGTGGTCATGTCTGGATCACATGCATGCCATCCGTTACCCAAGAGCTGAGATGGAGGAGGGTCCTTATTTGAACCACATGTTTAAAAAAGAGTGAAGGAATGTAAACCAAAATAATGTTGGACGTTACGAATTCCTGTCTGGTACTGACAGCCCCTTTGGTGGCAGGCTTATGCAGGAGTTGTGTCCGAGAGGCAGAGCCAGTGAGGGGTGATGGGCTTGAAGTGTGCAGTCTAGCAAGCGGATGGTGAGGGTACGGCAGATGCTTCGGAGGGAGAGTTGATGAGGACTTGGCGTTTGACTTGAAGGATGTTGAGGAGTTGGAAGTAGAGGAGAGGGACAAATCTAGATTGCTCTTTCAGGTTTCTGGCTTGCATGATTGGGTAGATCGTGGTGACCTTATCAGAGATCAGAAATACAAGAGGAGGAAGAATTTGTGGGCTTTGGGGCAGAAAATGAGTGCTAGGGTGAGTTTGAGAGGCCTGTGGGACAGCTAACTGTGGCAAGATGCTAATCTGAAAGGAGCATCTGTCACTTCCTGTCTGGAGAGGCTCCAGGGCGGTGTTCTGTGTTTAGACTTAAGGTGTGAATGAGGCTTTTTGAAAAAGACTTTGTACTAATTTGAGTGCTAGGGTACACTCTTTCAGTTTTATTACATATTATGGGATAGTTCTAACGTATAACGCAAATGATGCATATTACAGGGTAGTAACCCATACTCTGAAAGTGGTGTATATTTAAGAAAGATGAACATGGCATTTAAAATCCTTTCATAGTGTATTTTAATTTGAGTCATTCAGATCTGTATTTCCTTTTGTACGCAGTTTCTGTACATTTTTAGTTTACATTCACTGCCATCAGTAGTACTGAATTCTGGGTATGTGATTTGATCTTGTGTTTAAACAAATATGTAATGATTTCTTTTTTTTTAATGTTTTATTTATTTCTAGGAAAGAGAGAGAGAGACAGCGTGAGCAGGGGAGGGTCAGAGAGAGAGGGAGTCACAGACTCTGAAACAGGCTCCAGGCTCTGAGCTGGCAGTCAGCACAGAGCCTGACGCGGGGCCCGAACCCACGAACCGCGAGATCATGACCTAAGCGAAAGTTGGACGCTTAACCGACTAAGCCACCCAGGCGCCCCTGGATTTCTTTATTATGGCCAAATAGTTTTGCCTTAGTGAAATGTTTTATAGGTCACATGTTCACAGCAAG